CGTGCTCGACGCGGCTACTGAATGCACTCGGCTGCTGCGAGGGAGCTGTTCGAGAGGCCAATTGAGAAAAAGCCGCAAAATGTGCCGCCTTTGCCGCTGCCACCTCGGGTGTATCGATGACTTGACCGTCCCTACCCAACGGTGCTGGCTCAAATTGATTTTCTTGAGAAGAACGATATGGGATCGCTAGGCTACTCGAAAGAGTACATACCAGCAACAATGATAGTTTTAACTGTGAAAAAAATTGCATGATGTATTAATCATAAAAAAATTTGAAAAACTCCGAAATCATAGTGAGAGTAAATATTTTCAAACTAATTTTCTAATATATTTGTACTGATCACTTTTCAAAAAAGCTCTATGGTGATCTTTATTTTATTATTTTTATATGACATACATCCTATTAGAAAAATATTTCGGAAAAACTATCAAACTATTATTTGAAAAGTTTACTTTATTGTACAGATTCCGAATTTTTTAATAAATTGAATAGATGGATAATCAATGATATACAATACAATACATACTTTTAATTCCATTTTATTGTAAATCAGAGCAGTTTTAGCAGCTAGACCACTGCTGATTTGTACGAATTCTATTTTGATTCTGCGACTGCCGCTGTTTTTAGCTGGCTTTATATATCAGCAGCCTTAATTATTGCTTAAGAACAATTGTCATGTTAAATCAACTCTATCAATGAATCTTTTTTCCACTTTTAGCAGTCAAAATCAATGGACCGAAGCATACTAATATCGCACCTCGTATTGCATGCGGCTCGTGCGAAATTTCGTAGCGTGAAAGTTATGTCAGTAGACAATGAAAAAATTCGAATCGCTCACTCACTCGATTGAATTGTATAATGGTTTTTTTATTGCAATTTAGATAATAATCACAATTGGAATAATTTAATGTTTTGATAAGAAATATATTTATTTTTTTGTCATCAATAAAGTCTTATGTGCAAAAATGTTTTTCAAAGTAAATGATATAGCATTACTTCCATTTACATTTGAAAATGACATTGATACCCAAATTATGAAATGAAATTATTCATTCTTTGGGCTATGAAAGAATTTGTCTATAGAAAAAGACTGGGACAAAGGTACTCGCCATCTAGTGTCAGAGACTTCAAGTAGTATCATCGTAATTAAAGTGTTTAAAAACTAGTTTACATTTTTTGATACCGTTAAATTGTAATTTTCAGGTCAATTAAAATGTACTTAATATTTTTAATATTAATAATTGAATCAGAAAAATCATCAGAAACAAGCCAATCAACGGTAATGTAAAACATTTCAAATTTTCATTTTTTGGTCGATAGGTGAATATCGATCATTTCCGACTAGAACCTTATGCTCGTAATTTTCGAAAGAACTTTTTTAATGTTATCATAATTATAATTTGTTATATAGTATATAGTCTATGATTAACGAATAATTTATTCTGATATGAATCTGTGTTATAATTTATATAGATATTCGTTACAGCTATTCACTCACGTAATCAAATAAAATTGAAAAAAATTGTCTCTAAAACTGAAGACAAAATAAATTTTTACAAACAAATTTTTTAATATATTTTTTATTAATAAATGTTTTATTACATGTACCTTATTCATACAGCTAAGCGATAAAGTGGTTAATGATTGGTTCAATTTCTAGCTCGGTTTTGAAATGTTCACAAAACCACGTAATACGCTTTCTCGAATCAAGCAAAAACGTCAAACGTTTCGGTGTATTTGTACTTGATTTAATTGTCAAAGATTTAATTGAAACCTCAAACACTTCCGTTGTTTGCGCATTAGAACCCGGAAAGCTAATTAATTATGTTAATAAATGCTCTACGCAGCAAAATAAATACATCGTAAAGCATTCATTACACATACGCATTGCATTCTCTATTTAATTTTACTCGAGTTCTCAAGGTCTGATATCGTTGCATCAATCAGGAGGCTTTTCGTTCGCATTCTAATCGTTAAACGAAGAAAAGAAATTCCTGCAGTAAAAATGATGCCCTTACGAAAATCTTTTACGTAAATTAATTACCATAATGACAGCATCAGGTGGTTTTTACCCACTCGAAAAAGAATGTATTCGTCGTTTGAATGTGCACTAATTTATGGCAGTGCATTTACCTCGAGAATTTGAAAACACTTTTCTTTTCTAATACAAGTTTCAATTAATTTTTTGTAAAACTACTGATGACAATTGCCAAACGTAAATTTGATAAATTAGGCTAAAATATTTTCACCATCTTTTATTCTATTCACAGAGAAAAAGTAAGTACAATGCCAAAAATTTTTTAAATGAAATTTCTGTCAAAAATGACTATTGATGATTCTTACTTTAACGCGATCTCGACCATACAATAGAAATCCTTAACGTATTTATTAAAGTTTTTATAAATGAATCATCATTGTAACTTCATTATGTTTTTCCTTAAATTTTAATTTTAAGAAAAATTTCACAAATTATTTATCGGAAGAATTGATCATCTTAGTTCTTCGTTTTCTACATAGATGATAGTATGGAATTTCTAATATTTTAAGCGCGTCGAACCGCATCGATGACTGACTACTATAATACCATAGTGTAGAAATAAGCGCGTATAACAAGCAATGTTTTGTTCGTGCATTATATGTATATATATTCTTTGGGTATAATATCTATTACATGCGCATTGTATAACGAGTATACATATATAAATGTGCGTGTATACACAATGCTTCGAACCTCCTGACCCGTTCACGTAATAGACCGTTTCGTTTGTGGGTTCGAGCGTATAGGATATAATGCCGGCCAACTCTTTCTTTATTATAAATTCAGTATTTCCACCTTTAAAAGATACCTACACTTGCACTTGCGTGATAGCTAATTCTTAGAGGAAGAGCATGTACCCTATATAGTATGGCTAATTCATCCAGGCCATTACATGAGCCTAGTGCGCGAGCATAATTGATGATAATGCAATGGCAGCAAAATAACGAAGGCACAATTAGCTTGAAATTTAATTTACACAATTTGAGTAAAACCTCTCGATTCCGAAATGTTGAGTGGGCAGGACACGCTATACGTAACTTGTTAGGAAGTAAATCATATTTTATAAAGTTTTTTTCACCTTTGTTCGAATTTTACAAAAAGGACTCGAAAGTTAATGGGTGAGAGTGTATAAAATTTTGACTGTGCAATCGTTGTACTTTTTAATCTAGTTTGTGTCTCAAGGTAACTTTTGAAAATGTGTTTAACGCATACCTGCGTAATGTACATTTATTACCTATTCGGAATATGTCGAACGATAACAATCATAATAGTTATGTAAATTTTCATTCCAATTTCTAAGTTATGCATTATGTATGGGCATTAAACCATAAAAATTTACGTTTAGGTTTAAAAAAATTGTATATTTTGTTATTTCAAACGTGTTCTTGATTTCGAAGCTTGACCGTAATTTTGAAAATTCCCCAATGCTCCAATTAAAATGATTCATCATATCTCATTTTAATGCGGCCTAGCAGTTAATTAAGTATTAGAAAAAAGACAGTTCATGCCATTTTATTAACTAGTTTGAAATTGATTGGTCAATAAACGTCCAGAAAATGGGATCGTTTCTACCTCGGCTTACTACAATCACTTTATCAAACGTTATGTGTGTAACCAAAATAAAAACAAGTATACGAAAAATTACGCCACTTACGTCTGCGGCGTTATCTAAAATTTTAAACGGTCAATCTTAAAAATGAACGTGGGTGATACACCGATTACGCATACGGTCTGTCTGAGACATTTGAAAATCAATTTCCGATAATTAGATTCTTGTGCAAAAATATTATTAAATTGTTCATAAAAGTCAAAAATAGGAAATATAATTGAATAAAATAATCTTGAGTGAGAGAGAGAAAAAAAGGCGAATAAAATGTGCCGCGCGTGGTACACTTTCTCGCGTTTGGCCTGGACAGTTCCAAAATAGATTAAACGCGTGACAACGAAAAGTAGCCTATACGACTCTGCTAGAAATGAAATTGAAACAGCTCCTATAATGCCACAAAGGTGCGCGGCACACACCCACTCGCCAAACGCGCGTGTGTACTTTCTTACATCAAGGCATTCCACTACTTCCTCACTGTTACATATAGACCCCAATGCTCGAGCCGCTGCTGCCTTTAAAAACTTGTATTGCATAGGCGCACGTAATATATACACGCACACCACGCGGGCCTTTATCGCGCGCATGTGCTCGCAATTAATGCAGCTCAACATTGTGTATATATATCAAAACTTTTTGCTCGCGTAGGGCATCCGAATCTGAGCGAGGCTAATTTCAATGTATCGGCTATTATGAAATTGGAACTATTCACACGTTGACCGAGTGAAAGTAATCAGCAACGAGAGGAATGCATTTTTTCACATACGAGGCGCGAAAGATACGTATGATGGGCAGTTTAAAAGATTTGCATTCAATCGCTCGAGATTTACCGAAATAAATAATTTATGCTTTTAGATTTATTGAGAATTAGCATTAAATTAATTGAAATTTCCACATCATTTTCGAGTTAATGCACGCTTCGCGTCTAATTCCTTGATTCGTAATATCTTCGAGGGCTAATGTTTTTTTTTTTTTTTTTAACATATGCATTTCAAATATATTCCTCCTCAATTACACGAGATTTTACAATCGAAGGCACATAAACTTTATATATGGAGAAGTTGCCAAACGCAGTTCAAATGCATGAAAATAATTGGCATGATGACGAAGGACAGGCGTAGCAAGTGTATATCAATATTGGCAGCGTGTGCGTTTGCGCTCCCCTTGGCTCAAAATTATAAGTCGCGGTAACGCAGCAGTAGCAGCAGCAGCAAGTGGAGGGGTTAAACCTACCTGCATACACTTTGCACAGTGCAACTTTTACGGGCCCCCGTCGCAGAATACGCCTTATTGTTTCTTCAGCTATATAAGGTGATCCCAACTGCATTCGGGACGTAGAACGTGTGCCACGAGATAGTAGTAACCAGCGAGAACATGAGGTTCCTTGTGAGTAAATCGCAGTTTCATTCCTTTTTTTTCCCTATTAAGTTTTGGTGCTAATAAATCAAGTCCTAGTGTTAAATTCCATGAATTTTTGTGCGCTCTGCAGCAATGGACTTTGATATTTTTTCCACTTTCATATTGGATATTGTTGGTCACTTATAATTGGCAAAAATTTTTCTAACTACTGTCTTAAAACTCAACTATAGGTGTTAATTTATCAGTGTATTACGATATAAAAAAAATTAAAATATTTGTGAATTTTTGTGCTCGAGTGTCATCTTAGCATCTTCATTTATTGTATCATAGAAAATGATTCTTGAAATATTTTGACGGCTATTTTCATCAATAAAATTAATTTCATTATAATTATTAAAAATAATAGTAATAATTGTTATTAATTTTTTATTTTACCACGAAAAATAGTTTTCAATTAAAATTTAAAAGTACGATTAACGTTATCAATAATTAATTAATTAATCAAGTATGAATTATTATTAATAATAATTTACATGACAAGTGCATTGACATGTTATCACAAAACTATTTTATAAATATAATTGATGCCGCGTAATATTTTATTTTAAAACTTTTTATTTTTTTTACAAATTTCAATTATTCCGCAATTTTTGATAATTCGACGATTGTAATAATTAAAATATTTTATTTTTCAACAATTTTCATTTCCACTTTATTCTCGTTCAAATATCAAGTAAAAATATAAATTAATGCAATAGGCGTAAATTATATACTCTGAGAAGTAAGCTGTACTATCTGAAGTATACTGCACTTAAATAAGACATTTGTAAGCATGCGTGTAATTTAATTTCTCACTTTTACGTTTAATAAGTACATTCGTACATTAGATGACTGACTACATTATGCATAGTCATGACAAGAAAATTAGAATTAAAGTCGACATAAATCAGTATTTATTTTAATTCATACTCGCTATTATTATCTAATTTATTAAATATGACTGGCTCTGGTCTTTGAAATAAAAGCAAAACTAATGGAGAAAATTGTTACAGATTGTATTTTCGTCACTGGCTGTAGCCGTGCTTGCTCGCCCCGGCTACGAGCACGGCCCCGACGTGCACCACCAGTATCAGTACCACGGCCCGCCCGCACCCCTCGGCCACGACGGCCGCGTTGTCGACACGCCCGAGGTCGCCCACGCTAAGGCCGCTCACTTCCACGCCTTCAGCGAGGAGCTGTCCAAGGCCTCGCACCACGGCCCGATCCTGCACCACGAGCCGGAGATCCACCACCACCACGAGCAGCACCATCACGAGGCGCCGGTGCTGCACCACGCCGCCGCCTACCATCACGAGCCCGAGCACCACGTCTATCACGGACCCCCGGCTCCCCTCGCTCACGACGGTCGCGTGATCGACACCGCCGAGGTCGCCCACGCCAAGGCCGCGCACTTCCACGCTTACGCCGAGGAGCTGTCGAAAGTGGCGCATCACGGCCCGGCGTTGCACCACGGCGCCGACTTAGGCCATCATCTCTATTAATTAATTATATATGTAGCGACTCGTTATACTATTGCTCACTAAGAATTGCATTAACTCTATCACACATGCATTCGCACTTGACAAATCAACATATCCAACCTGTCGCAATTTCGAAAAGTCATAATCACAATCAAATGCATCGTGCTGCATTTTCAATTTGCGACAGTCTTAATATATACCTTTGCAATGTATACGCGTTAAACTTGGCTTGATGCAACGCGCGATCAGACTCTTGAGCCTTACATAAAACTTTACTCCTCTAAGGATTTTTGTGTTTGTAAAAGTTTTTTGAAAAATCATGATCGGCGCTGATGTACATCATTAAAATGATACATTACGCGCAACACGATCTTGTGTAAATAAATAATGTGTGGTAATGTAAACTAACTATTTCATTTTCTGTGACATTTCTTTGGTAATCTCGTGGTTACGATTATCACATCCGATTGAAACGGCCTTCTCCGCTTGGATAGGGTTACACGCTCACCAATATTTCCGAAATAAAATAAAACTGTGTAACCCATTACTTTTTTACTTTGAATGTATTATGTTTCGCACACGGAGATGGTTGGTTTCATCCAAATCGTATCCTGCACACGTGTTCAAAAGTTTCGAAAAACGAAAAAGGCTAAAAGAAACGAGTATGATTGTACGTTTCATCGAAACCTCTCGTCGTAGCAAATAATTAATTTTCATCGTTGTACATGTTTATCGAATTCATTCGTGTATTCCGTAATCAATCAGAAAACCGATACGCTACTCGTACAACAAAACAAAAAAAATATTTATGTATCACAGCATAAATTGTATCGTCCTTTTGACAAAGTGACTACATGTATAGATTTTTTATTTATTTTTATATGTATTTATTGACAATGTATATTATTTATGAAAATGCAAATATATTTTTGATATTCTAAAATCAACTTTTACTTCATAACGTTTGACCATTCTTTTAATAAAATATATGTTTTCTTATTATTAACCATTGCTTATTAAAATTCAAAATTATATAAGTATATAAATTGATCAGAAGTCGAAATATAAATATTATATATATTACGTAGAAAGAAACGAATATAATAATGTCGGTGTATAAACCATTACACTACATAGCAAAAAAATTTAATTGAATATCAATATCGCTATTCAACATCAGCGATTTCTAGTGATATGCTACGATAATCGATCGATGAAAACTTATGCCAGTGATTCATATTATTAAAGTGAATTTCATTCGATGTAATATTTAAAAGACCCTTCAGTTACGCTACGCTCAGTTTAGTTACGTTTTGCAAAGACCTTTTTAAAATCGATCCCAATTCTTAATTCCACTGACCCATACACGCCCATGCGCAAGTCATGGTTATACATTATGTGCACTACGTTTATAACTTATTCGGACACGTCGAGAGATTAGACGTGTTGGCCTCATAAAACCTATCCTAGAAACGGAAATACGATCGAATGAAAAAAAAAGAGTCAGCTCGATTATATATTTACAGCCAGGCCAAAAGCGTGTTACATAGGGACACGTGTGTCAAAAAAAAAGAGTTAACAACAACGATAAAATAATAATAAGAGTGTCCGCGTGTGTAAGTATAGAGTCGAAATCATAAATCTTAAAATTATGACGTGGTGGTAGTTGTCGCTAAAAGTAAAGCAAGGCGCGACTGCGTGTTATCAATCACTTTACATAACGAGAAAGTCAATGCGCGCACGGCTCTGTGTATAGATATGTCTTCTGTGTACATGCACGCGTGGATATATATTTGTACGGTGGACGCAGCAGGCTGCCTGGCTGCCGACGCCGACATCGCCACCGTTGCCCCCACGCCGCCGCCGGCCCCCTCGTGATAACAACTAACGCAAATTGTATAACTTTCTGGGCGTCACGCAATTACAACAAGGCGGCCAGCGAGCTCGAGCTCGCGAACTTTCCAAACGGCCCAATAAACTCTAGAGGCGTAATGTCTCGAGTCTTGGTCATCGATTATGTATATGGTAACAATCGCGGCGTATTATGCGCATTCGCAAGGACGAACTAGTTCATAGAGAGAGAGTCTGAAGCGTGCAAGATGCAAGCCAAGAGTTTATGAGTCAATGGGGAAATTTTTTACCATTGTCATCGACTTCGAGAAACGCAACCGCTTCATTATTGAGACAATCATTGATTTTTGCGTCATTCGTATTGAGCTTGCAAATTAAATATTATTATGAATAATGACAGCGAGAATCAATTGTCATCGTAGCGAGGAAGAAAAAGATTTTAAAAAAGATCAGGTTCGTGGTACCAGTACGAAGATAATGAATGGAAAAATCAACGTAAAGTACGATTCGAAACCGACAAAAATAGAAAAAAAAATCCTACATAATTTTGGAGTTTAAAACGATCTTTAGCATTGCAAAGTACAAAAGTCACCACACGAATTCCAGACTACTCGTACAGTGTATCACAGGCGATGTAGTCGAAGGAAAATCTACGATAGAGGCTACCCTAATAATTTCCAATGTGTAAAGCAACAAGTGCAGCGCGCAGTCTCTAACATAGAAGCACGAGATCAAGTGGGGCTGATACCGATATGCAGTCGAGGCCGGTGCCGCTTGGCGCGAAAAAAAGGCTCCGCGAGTCGCACTCCGTGCACGTGCACACGGTCTGCAACGCGCGCGCCTTTGAGCCTGCTAAGAGCAGCAACAAGTGGCGGGGGAAGCTACACGCGATCTGGTCGACGAACCAGGACACGAGATCGAGCGCGTTGCAACATCGAAGATTGTGAGTGTGTATCGGTGCATACACATGGCCACACTTACTTTCCATGCGCACACGTTCAATACCAGAGAGCAGATCAAGTTTAATTACGTTTTTCTAATCTCTCTTATTATATTTTCCTATGAAAGCATTAGCTCTTCGCGAGAACTTGGACTCAATGCGATACAATGATTTCCTTATATACTTATTCATTTATTGGTTATTCATGTTTGCTGGCGTTTTACAAACTATCCATTTAGAATTGCATACAATTAGATCGATCGTGGATTGAAAGCAGTTAAGCTGTGTGCCATTGGTATCGCATTTTTCAATTAAAATAGCCCGGTGTGAAAACGCTTAATTTCAAAGATGTCTACATCGATGAACATTTCTGTCCTATAAATAACGATCCTGTGCGTGCATTAATTTATGTTAAGTTACTTAAAAGTTGGGATTTATGAAACCTTTGTCAAGCAAAGGATTAAATTAATGTTAATCTTAATCAAAGAGGGCAAATTCGATTCGATCGTTGGAACACACGTACACAGCTAAAAAGGCGAGTTCGACGGATGCAGTTTCGACATCGAAATCGCATAGCAAAACATATTAACTGCTGTTGCCGCTCGCAAAGAGCCGCTGCTGCTGCTGCTGCTGCCGGTGACATGAATGCATGTGGGCTGGAATTTTGATGCTCTTTATGATTAGTCATACCATGCTTATTGAAACTGAAAATTTTTTACACATGAAAAAATGCAGCGAGAGTGCGTGTTAAATACCTTATTGAGACACGTGAGCCTACGTATTAAATACAAAGTATTTTTGCAATCTATATTATATTGTCGAACGAGTAAGGGTATCGATTTCATTCGCTTTTTGTTAAAAGCAAAGAATTTCATTGCGTAAATTTATCGATGGTTCAAAAACATCTTTGTACATAATAAACGTTGTGCTAATTCCATTGGAGTTTCTGAGTTAATCAGTTTCAGGACTCACTGGGAGTCGGATTGCTGAATACTATTGAAAGCAACTTGAATTATAAGATAAAGAAACGAGAAATAATTTAAAACATTTGATAACGCGCTTAATATACGCATTCTTCGAAAACGAGTTCTTAATTACACTCTAATTCTAAAATCTCAAAGAAAAAAAAATATACATGTATTTTAGCATATCTTACGATAGAAAATACTAGTTCAATTTTTTTTAATTTTCTTTTAAAGAAAATTTCTCAATCAAACTTAAACTGATTAAGGTTGACAATAGTTCGTGATGAAAGCGTAAAAATATACGAAGGTGCGCCGATTAATCATAAACTGAAATAAATTTTTCTCGGCGTAATAAATTTTTATGTACTCGACTAAATTGTTCTAATATCATCCTGAAAGATAAAGGCAAGAAAATCTCGTATGCATTAATTGGGCGTAATAACATTAGGAAATTCCAAATGAGCGACCTCAGATCGGAAAATTATCGGGCGCACAATATTAATCACAAGTTTCGATCGGCGGTCGGCGGTATACATACAGAGTAGAATTTAGATCTCTTTATAACACCCGCAGCAGTGTACATATACGTGTATGCGTAATAAGCACTGTGTGCCTGCTCTATGTGCGGTGCACACCCTGGAGGCACTAATGCACGCGTAGTGCACGTGTTCAACCTGCACCGTATACATGCACAAATGTATGTACTCGCACACACACAAGCTTATACATAGGCCGCACACTACGCACTCGGGAATGTGCCACATTTTATCCACCTCTGCGCCTTTTTCTCTATTGTAGTCAACGCTTCTATGCGAGCATACATATAAGTGGACTTTCCTCCTTCTCCCTCTCGCAAGGTCGCCGTCATGACTAGCGAGAATTCAATAAATCGTACTCTTGTTCCAGGGTGCGATAAATAAATTAATTTAAAATCAAGCAGCGCATTCAGCTGTCAGGGGTGTCAGAGGTTAATGCACATTATTCAAAATAAAAATTCCATCGTCGGAAAAAGGTGTTATTAATGCTTAAAATCATTCAAAATTGTCTTCCACCAATGTGTAGTTAATCAATCCGTTGAATAAATATTTAATGTTTAGTTTTACGAGTTGATTTTATTTTAAAAATTTCAGCTATTTAGTAAACCAAACAAATGGATAGCTGTAATTATATAATAAGCATGTTCAGTATGGTTTTTTTTATCTCTCGTAAGTTATAGACTACTTAATATCGGGTACTAAAGAACAATAAGATCATTTTCTTGATAAAATAAATGTATCAGTCAATATTTAAAAAAATGTATATTAATGGATACATTTACATGCAATTTTATTCATGCATATTCGACGTTAAAAGAGTTCAATTTAGACAATAAAAATTTAAAACAAAAAAAATTTATTATACTTGAAAATGTTAACAAAATCATTAACAAAAATGAGCCACTGAGGTATTATTGTTAGCTTGCAATGCTTTAATAACTCTATTGTTTTTTAAAATAGTTTGATTTGTTTACTGAAACAATGAGTATTACAACAGTACTTGAGGTGATAATGCTCACATTTTGTCATAAATCTAATCGATTTAAACAAAAGTATATCAAAAGAAATAGGCTCCTACAGGGTAAATGAAAGACAGAGAAAATACTGAGAATCGAACCGTTGAGATATTAAGTGCGAATCTAATTTATTTTTATTTATATCGGAATCCAATCAAAATTGCGCTTATCGAACTTGAAAATTAAAATTCCTTACGTTAATATTAAAGCGTATCGGTTATACATTCTGATCGTTATGAAATGCATGTGAAACTCTGTTCGATAAATTTTTTATAAATTTTATCTTAATCGGTACAGTGTCTGCGATTAGTATGAATTTACATTGCGTAATAACAGATAAAGGTAAGTGTAATTTCTTTGTTTCTTAAAAAAGGACAACGCACAAACTGAAAGTCGTTATCAATATTCAAGCGCGTTATGCATTATTGATAGGTAATGTGAACTTTTATACCGCTTCCTCTCAAACGAAAGTAAAGAATATAATAGGTTGTAAATATTTTCATTGCGACACGATGAGATTTAACGACTTAATAATATTGAGTTTTGTCGCGGTGCTAAAAATGAAATTCAACGACGACTTCTAAGGAACGATGGCTACTCATTCATGGAAAAAGTAAATACAATCATTAGATCGGTTGGAATGTCATTCTGGCGTCGAGACTGGCTAGTCATTGGGTGTTACTGTGTAGACATATAAAGCTCCATCCTCGGCGCGAATACAAGTAAATGTCAATGTTAATAGTCTGCTCGCGGGGGCGAGAAAAACAATAGTTCTCATTTATGCAATAAGTGTATGCATGCGGCCATAGCAAAGTACGAAATGTATCGACGAGAGAGGGCAGGTACAAAATTAGCTTCTATTTACTATAGCCAAGTGTGCAAGTCCACTTTTGTGCGTGCGCGAGTGTGTGTGTGTGTGTGTGTGTGTGTGTGTGTATGTGTGCGTACATGTATGCGAATCGCGGGCGGCACGAGAGGGCAGAGCCCGTGTGCGAGCTCGCGCGAGTTGGTGTTGGTCGCGAAGGAGAGCTATATTATTCTAAAGCTGGGTGTGGTGTACAGTGCATGCAGTTTTGAGTTTTGGTGGGGTGGATTATATCCCCCTTTAACTTGCAGTGCCAGTAACAACGGTATAAATTGACGGATTGAACGAGACTAGGAACATGTGCACCCGAGGACTTGCATCTGCAACTAGTAAAGCAAGAGCTTAGTTAAGCCTGCCCTCGCCCACATTTTCAACACCATGATAGCCATAGTGAGTACTCGATATTGAACATTTTTGACTGATTGATTTTCTGCAAATTAGTTTCGATTTGTTGATTAATCGCGAAATCGATCGGAATGGATTATCCTTTAAATACTCCGGAGATATTACAAATAATGGTTAATTTATTTAACGCTAAATAATTTCTGACGCAACGCATTGCAAAATTACACATCAATTATTTTTACAGCTAAAATTGTGATGTCTTCTCTATAACATAAAATTTTCAATTTCGTCATAATTATTTGTACTTTTTGGTCAAATTATTTAAGTATTAATTTTTTGAAAAATTTAATTGTTCTAAACGTACTTTATTTTCTGACATACTTCTGATTATTTTATAGACTCTTATTAAAGTGATTGCGATCGAATTTAATAACGACTAATCAATGATTTTCTTTTCAAGATTTTATTATCCGTAATTGCCACGGTCCTCGGGTCGCCTCAGTACTATCACGGTGCCCCGCACGCGTACGCGCCGCACGGTGGCGCAGCCCCCCTGGGACCGGATGGCCGAGTCGTCGACACCCCCGAGGTAGCGCACGCCAAATCCGCTCACTTGGCCGCCCTGGCCGAGGCCGCCGCTCGAGCGCCCAAAGGCCCGGTGGGCCACTACGACGCGCCCGTCCATGCCCACGGACTGGCTTACGCCCCGCACGCCGCTTACGCTCATGGACCACGGTACAGGTGACTTTTAATACCCTTTGAAATGCTCTACGTTGTATGGCTACATGTCGTAAAATTGAGATTGATCGTTTCGTTTTTTTCTTTTTTTTTTCGTACGAGCCGCGAATAATTGCGTAAAAGCACTCGCTCGTCTGTAACTTTTGATTAATGCGGTTTTAAAGTATTTAAAACTGATTTATTGATGCGAAATATTCGTGGTATTATATACGAAGGCATGTATCATATTTTAAAGTTGAATTGCATTTAATTGGCCTCATAAATATCTCTTTCGCGTTACATATTTTATGTTACAAATGAATCAAATTCAGAGCTTGTAATCTTAAACACAAACACGTTAGAGTCATTTACTATGCATACACAAAATAATGATGCAATACCTTCAATACCGTGTAACTTAATATATGCACGAATTTTCTGCAGTGGACCACCTGCGCCCCTCGGACCGGACGGTCGTGTTATAGATACCCCCGAGGTCGAGCACGCCAAGGCCATCCACTTCTCGCTGTACAATGCTGAGGTGCAGAAAGCCGGACCTCCTGGACCAGTCCATGGCCCAGCTCTTGGACACTACGGAGCTCCAGTTTATCACGACGGCTCTTACAACCCTGCCCACGACTACTACTGAGCAGTCAACGAATCACCATCATCGATATATATATTAGAACGGTGTGCTTCTCTACTCTATATAGGTTCTTTGAGTGATGTATGTTAATTCAATTGCCCTCAATTTGTTGTGCTATCGATGAATTTGTTAATCTGTCGCTTCTTATGACTCAATAGAAGCAAGCAAAAAAACAAATTTCTCGGAAAATGAATTTCATTTCACTCTCTACTACCCCCAGTCATTCGATTTAAACTGGCATCATCTAACAAAGTTCACATTCACTACATTGCGTAAATCGAAATCTCATTATCACCTACAAGACTGGATAACTCCCTCTTACTTTACTTTTTTCTCTCTATCATTCCTGCTTTCATTTTCTCTTGTGCCGACTGTTTGATTACAAACAAGCGTACTATCTAAACGGTCATAAAAACCGAAATCTCTAAGCAGCCATAAATATTAAAGCCATGTACTGTATCGAGTAATACAAATCGATCTGAATGATAATTTTGTGGTTTTGCAATTGTCTGCACATGGTGACACGAAAATAACGACAGCAGCAGCTTTTACTTGCGCAACCATGTAATCACAAGTATTATCTTTAGATGTACCAAAGAGAGTTTGACGAATACACCGAAGCGGATTCCAAAACCCGCCCTTCGAACACCAGCATTTTACATTGCAAAGAAGTTAAATGGCATTAAATCTTTGCTCGAGAAATTTTTAGATAGAAGAAAAATAAGCCTAGTAGGCTAAATCAAGAATGTTCTTTACACTTTTTACTTTCATCTTCCTTTTTTCTTCTTTTTGTCTAATTTTTTTCTCTCAAAAAAATATGTTTGAATCCATTGTTACTGTTTTCTCATTAACTAATTTTCTACTCATATTTCTGTATGCTAGTTTGCAAAATGTTCACAGATAAAAGTGAGAAGAGCACCGTAAATATGTTACCGGTTTATGCGTCGGTCGTTCTGTACGGATGCTAAAAAATTGTTTTTTGAAGATACATGTATATTATGTACACATAAAATTAATAAATATGTATACGATATACATTTATATTAGCTTTGATAATAAAATGTGATTAGTATCTCTACATTTGTCTATGATAATTTAGTAAAAATATTTATTGTTCCTTCTCCTCTATGATCTTTACTTTCAAGCCTTACAAGCAAGGAAATTAATAAGAATCCAATTTGACAATTTTCAGATTGATAATAATTACTCAAGATTAATTTTAATAAAGTTTCATCAAGTCACAAAAAAAATGTTAGTACGTGTGATAATGTTGTATCTGCTTACATTTAAGGAAGTGTAATAAAAAATAAAAAGAAATTGATTTATTGACACTATAATTGATCGATATTGCTTGTTAAAAATGGATATTTTTTACTACATGTCAATGTTTCTTTTCAAATGTATTCGACATGAAAATATCGATTCATTTTTTGTCAAATTACTTTTAACTTCAAATGGAATAACAGGCCAGTCTGCGATGTCTAACAAGATAAAAAGAGGAAAAACGCTGAGCTGATTTTTGGTGATATCTGAGTTCTTAATTTTCATCAAACACAGTGTAGCGCTTAGTATACTTTTATTCTTTTAATGAGAAATACTGAAGCCTCTTCAAAATTAACAATTGAATAAACGCCTTTTAGCAAGCACAGGACGGTGACTTCTTCAATTTGTGCTTCAACCTAAATCCTCTCGGCTAGATCCCGCAAATGTGCTAGAGTAGAGCATGATTTTCACAATTAATTTTTCCGCACATTTCGCACGCATGTCTTAGATTTTCGTGAACCAATCTGTGGTAATGCTTCAAATATATTTTTCTATACTCTTTTCCATACGCCTTAACTCCCGTATACTTAATATTTAGGCTTTTCCGACTTTACTGCTATATCTTGCAAAACTATTTTGTTATAATAAGTAAATATCTTTTGTTGATCTAGCTGACCAAATTTGATGGACCCACTCAAAAGATCTTTCTGCAGTGTATATCGAATTCCTAAAAATGAACTGCTTGATGCTATACATTAACTATAATTCATCATTCATCTTTCACTGAAATTGATTGCGAAATTTTGCTGCACATCAAGTAAACAAATTATATGTTCAAGTGCGAGACCGATTAGGTCGCTCTTTAACAGTTTGTCAAATTTTCACGCACAACTAATTAAATCATAATTTGATTATCACATGATTCCAGAATACTGATTTAATTTATTAATTTTTATTTTTGAAAATATGACTTATAAATGAATACTTTATTCACTGGCACTTTACACACTTGTAAAGGCATCATGACTAACATATATGTATAGCAGGTTGTCAACTTACAGGAGGTCGACTTCTTCGTTTTTAACTTCTTACTATTATAACATTATCGTCATAATTCATGCAGTTTTAAATACGACTCAGATAAAGTGTAACATAATATTTATAATTATGATGATATAATATATCTACCGCGCCCTTCGAAGAACCAACATCCCAACAATACATCAGATCATCTATTATACTTTGACTAGTAAAAAAACAGGTTGGTTAAATACTCTGCTGGAGGATGAAGCCTCTGCATCAATTTCTATGATAATAGAATTCAACATAAGCTATATTTGTTTCAATTGTTAGGTCGCAATATCTTTTCTATTTTTTTCACATTGGCTTTGCTACAATAGTTCTGGGTCGTCATTGTGGAATAAACTAGGATACAAGTTGATCTTTGTTCAATAAGTAGATTTGCGTCCACCGATCGTTTCCATGCCTTTTACAGGTTTGCAATTGATGGCTGGAATATGTAAACGGTAATCAAAAAATTCTACAAAAGCTTCAGAGAAATACTCTTAAATACTCGCGCTTGCTATACTATGCAGTACTCATTGTCGAAGGTCAAATACCAACTCTTTGCCTCGACAGTCAAAACGTTACTTCTCTATTTCAATCCTTGCTCATCTCAAGGTAGTACACTAATGGAGTATAAACGTGAATTGTTAATTTCGTGTCATTGATAAAATCGTCCATTGAAAAAACTGACGAAATAAGCACTAGAGTATAAAATCAACAATATCACAATGCACAGGAGGAGACTCTCGGATGAATAGTAGGCTCGTTCAAAAGCTCTCTTTTCCATGGTGGAAGGGAATATTCGTACGTATTCGGAAAATGAGATGCTCCAGAATAGTTTCAAAATGAATTTCGATACGATTATAAAAGATGCACTCATATTGACAAAATTATCCAAATCGATCGCAGAGATTAATTTTTGCAAAATACTGACTCTGAATTTTCGAATCATTGCACGCACATGAATACTAGTTAAAAGCTTCCAACGAATTATGGCAGCTTAACATTTGATCTTGAGGAAAATTGATTTACTCGTAAATTTAATCCCCAATAACATTGCATAATTCTTTCCAGAACAGTTTGATTGATTTTAACTACATTTATCAATTGTCTATAACGAGAATAATTCAATATTTTATTGAATCCATCTATATCAAAAATGAATAGCGGCAAAAATGAATAGTCTCGATATGCACCGCTGATTCATATAAAATCTTAAATTGTTTACTATCGTACAAAACTTTGTTTTTTTTAATAAGGATTTTGTTATATTTTGATATAAACTATTTTTATTTATTATAAGTTTAATAATATTCTTTTTAATTGTTAGTCTTATCAAGTATTTTATTTCTTTATCAATTCTAATTTTTTTTTAAAAATCTTGATAGAAACATATTAATCGAAGCTGAAGAGAATCTTGACGACATAATTACGGGGCACTTGTTAATATTTGCCATTTCCATTTGTAATTTCCAGATCACTCTTTCCTAAAACATACAACATTATTACTCAAAAATTGTTTGTAATTCTTATTCGAATTATTATAAATAAAAAATTTTATGTGGCGCGCGTGAATTGGCCTGAAAAAATGTAATAATTATCGATTGCAATCATCTAGACGTATAATATGCGCACGAGCTAATTACAACGTCAACACCCACAAATATGAATCGACCTAATGCATAAATTCATTTTAAACTTTAATGTGAGTGTCAGTGTGTATTAGGTAAATAGCAACATAAAAGTTTCACTTGCATACATACACGGTTTCGTGCACGCGTGAGAAAGAGAAGCAAAAACGCTTAATTAGGCGACGAACGTGATTATTTGATATCTATGTATATGGGTCAAAATAATACTTTTTTACAAAACCGTGCGCGCGTAAGTCACCGATCTTGATGCGCTTTTGGTATGTTATAGTACATGGTAAAAAGGTCCAAAAAAAAATGTTTAGACCCCCTCCCCCCTCCTACCCCCACTTCCGGTATAAACGTCCATTTTCGATCTATATTTTTTCTGAGGACATGAAGCAAGTGAAAAATCTGACAATACTTTTCCACAATCCAAACAAACTTGAATTTTTTCAGATCTTTTGAGTGCTTCAGGCCTTCAGAAAAAATTATTGAAAATTTCAAAAATCGAGATACATGGGATGAGCCGATGTAGTACTCGGAAATTTTTTCAGTTTTTTGTTGCATTGAAAAACATAACCTCAATTTTTTTCAGATTTTTTCAGATGACCTAACGACGCACTTTTTGAAGCCAAAAACCGCTTTTTTTGACGAAAATAATTTTTTTAGGACAATACGGAGCCTCGAAAAATCTGAAAAAAATTTTTTCTTGTTTTTTTTCATCAAAATACATAATCTCAAATTTTTTCAGATTTTTTAATTGAAAGCAATAGCTTCTAGGGCCGAAAAATGCTATTTTTAACAAAAAAAAAGGTTTCTAGAACCCGATGGTTCCGGTGAAAAAATTTGAAAATATTTTTTTTGAATTCTTTGTCAAATTTTAATAAATTTTGACCGTTTCAGAATTCTGATCGAAGCTTCCTAGCTCATTTTAGAGCATCAAACGAGTTTTATCATTCCTTAATGTCTTCAGAAACGTCTTCAGATATTTTGCACTAATCTTTGTGATGCTCTAAAATGAGCTAGGAAGCTTCAATCAGAATTCTGAAACGGTCAAAATTTATTAAAATTTGACAAGGAATTCAAAAAAAATATTTTCAAATTTTTTCACCGGAACCATCGGGTTCTAGAAACCTTTTTTTGTTAAAAATAGCATTTTTCGGCCCTAGAAGCTATTGCTTTCAATTAAAAAATCTGAAAAAATTTGAGATTATGTATTTTGATGAAAAAAAACAAGAAAAAATTTTTTTCAGATTTTTCGAGGCTCCGTATTGTCTTAAAAAAATTATTTTCGTCAAAAAAAGCGGTTTTTGGCTTCAAAAGGTGCGTCGTTAGGTCATCTGAAAAAATCTGAAAAAAATTGAGGTTATGTTTTTCAATGCAATAAAAAACTGAAAAAATTTCCGAGTACTACATCGGCTCATCCCATGTATCTCGATTTTTGAAATTTTCAATAATTTTTTCTGAAGGCCTGAAGCACTCAAAAGATCTGAAAAAATTCAAGTTTGTTTGGATTGTGGAAAAGTATTTTTATGAATTTTTTCAGATTTTTCACTTGCTTCATGTCCTCAGAAAAAAATATAGATCGAAAATGGACGTTTATACCGGAAGTGGGGGTAAGAGGGGGGAGGGGGTCTAAACATTTTTTTTTTTGGACCTTTTTACCATGTACTATAACATACCAAAAGCGCGTCAAGATCGGTGACATACGTGCGCACGGTTTTGTAAAAAAGTATTATTTTGACCCATATATGTTCGTGTCGAATGTAAGATGCATCGGTGATCCATCCGACTAATTCTAAACAAATTCGGACTCGCTTGGATGTTTATTTTTCTCGACAACATGTGTATAAGAGACCATACTAGAACGATAGGTGCTTGTTTTCTCTTTATTAAATGACAAATAAAACACATTTTGCAATACTACGCAAACACGAATAATATAACTGTAAATGCGTGATCCTATTTATAAAACATTATATCGACTAAAATATGGGTTCGCAAGCTAGCATCGTATATATAAATCTGATATTACAGTTCGATAAAAATTTTCTCGACGCACTACCCGATGAGCTGATAATTCAGGAGCTTAATGTAATTCCACATCATTGTAAAGTTATAAGAATAAGAACAGTTAAGAATTTTTAAAAAGAATTTTTTTATTTTTTAAGCTTCGCAAGTCCAATAAGGCGAAGATTTATTGTGCGTTTAGAAAATTTTATAGTGCGGGTAGTTATAGGTTATTATATCAGCGCGGAACTGATCGTAAAAAAAGTATTTATGTTCTCAATTTATAAATGTAATAGACTTACCGTTCAAGGTCACGAGGCATCTATTACTCCAGATTGTTATAACTCAGTAGGTGGATCACCACGGGTTTTACCACAATACACACAAATTTCCTCGGAGTCTGGGTAATCCCATGACTCTTCATGACACTTTGGACAACTAATTGAAACATATTCTGCCGGTTCGTCCAAAACCTCGTATTCCTCGACCTCTTCGTCACTTGAGATCGGTTTTTCGAGGCACATAATTTTAGACAACTTCTTATTTTATTAATCGGTATAGTAACGTAATGTACAATGTTACGATAGTTACAATGAATTAAATAATACCTCTTGTAAATTTAGAGACACTTTTCTAGTATGTAAGGGTGAAAATATTTTGTTCAAAGGGTTAGTAAGAAGCCTCAAAGTTGACCAATCTCAATTTTTATTTTAGGTCTATTTTTTTTAGATGAAATAAAAAGGATTTCAAGGTGTAAGTATTCCCTTAAGAACGATATTTCACTGTTGCTCCAGTTACCAAATATCATAATATACTTTCTACCTTCATATGGATTGAGAAAATACATATCAATAATAAATTTCTGAAAATTGAAACAGTTAAAATTAGTTCTATATAGCATGCAAAACGCATCTCATTCTGGTATAAAATTCACCTTTATACTTTGAATTATTCTTGTCATGATAAAACATTTTTTCATCGATATTCGGTGATAAAAAAGGTATTTATTTATAGATCTATATTATACTGAAGTAAAACAAAAAATCCAAAGTTTGATCGTACCTGTGAATATAATTTTATTTGAAAATAAAAACTGGAAGGGTTGCTCAAGTTTTTGACAACTCTACTTTTTTATCACGAGTAAAAAAACGGTACAAATCTAGTAGAATGATAAATAGTATCTGATAAATTCATAATATGTATGTTTAACAAGCTTACTGCTATTTTAAAACTTACCGTTGTTAGTGTATTATACTATATTAACTCGTAGACCGGCAGATAGTGACCGTCCCGATAATAGGTGCTGATTTTCTAACGTATGCTCTTGAAAAGTCTGAAAGATACATCGATAACAAGCTCAATAAACGAAATATTACGCCATATTAGCGTGGCGATATATTTTAAAGTACATGGCCGATTCTCTATGAAATCGAATGGCCAAAAAAATTTTTTTTCTGCAAATATGAAAAACTTGTTATATTTGATGTCAAATTTGACCAAAAAATTTTTTAGGAAAATTGGGGCCTTCTATGACACTTTTTTAGAGGCCTAACGTTGGCCATTTTAGCGTTTTTTGGAAATTCATGAAAAATCACAAATTTTCAAATAATTCCTGGATCAGGGTAGAATGATTCAAAAGTAAAAGTGTCCAGCAACTTTTTTGTTGGAAATTGTCGAAATTTTCAGAAAAAAGTATGCCAAAGTGATTGGAGCTATATAGTAAAGTGAAAAGCTCTCAAAACTTAAAAAAAACACAAAAGAAGAAATCTACTAGAGTTCGAACGGTACTTTCAAACGTGCAAAAAAAGTCAAAAATAGGCCTAATATGCCTAAAATCACCAATAACAGCCATTTTTAGACCTTTTTTGCACGTTTTTCGACACACATTATTGTCTACATTGCATTAAACTTTAAGACCCATTACAAATCAGGCAGTAGTTGACATCTTTGGGAAGCTTTTTACATAGTTTAGGAAATGAAAGTATGGTTCGAACTCGAGTAGGTTTCTTGTTTTGTGTTTTTTTCAACTTTTGAGAGCTTTTCACTTTACTATATAGCTCCAATCACTTTGGCATACTTTTTTCTGAAAATTTGGACAATTTCCAACAAAAAAGTTGCTGGGCACTTTTACTTTTGAATCATTCTACCCTGATCCAGGAATTATTTGAATATTTGTGATTTTTCATGAATTTCCAAAAAACGCTAAGATGGCCAACTTTGGGCCTCTGAAAAAGTGTCATAGAAGGCCCCAATTTTCCTAAAAATTTTTTTGGTCAAATCTGACATCAAATACAACTAGTTTTTCATATTTGCAGAAAAAAAATGTTTTGGGCCATTCGACTTGACAGACAATCGGCCACATATAGATTTGTAACAAATTTTGGCCTTGTGTGCTAATTTTCTAACTTATGCCATTATTGAAAAATGATATTTTGGCACTGATCGAGTCTTTATCTAGCTAGACATAAGAGCACTTAGTGTCCTTTGGTGTAGATCGATATGGTAATAATATAAGAAAACCCCATGATTGTGTGCTGATTTTTAAACTTATGCCAATGGAAGGATGAAATTTTGAAACTCATAGAATACATAAAAAATAATGGCACAAGGGCCACTAGTAGATATAAAAATTTAGACTCTACGAAAGATGTACAATATTTCGGGTTAAAATCTTTCACAAAATTTATTACAAATTAAAAAAAACCGCCACTCTAATACGGCTTTCAGACTTTTCAAGGGCATAAGTTAGAAAATTAGCACCTATTAACGGTCACTATCTGCCGGTCTATCATGTTTTTCCTATTTATTTAAAAATCAAATGATTTTTGTATCGAGATTTTGATGCATTACGAACATTGACAGGAGTTTCGAACTTTTTTCCAAAAATCAATAACACCAAGTGATTAAGTATGAATGTTCATATTTTATTTTTTATTTTAAATGAGTATTGTAATACTTAACAAAATGATAATTTCATTCAAAGTTTCTTTAAATACTATATAGTCTCAAATCAAATCTTATTTCCAGTAAATATTCACATAATTGAGTAACTAATCACTCAAAATTTATACAAAGTATAGTACATGAAGTGAAGATATGTAACAGATACTGTGTTAGTACATTGTGCTTGGTTTTTTAATTCTTTTTTTTAAACTTTTTTTAACCAGCATTGCAATGTGCGTTTATGAAAATGACAATCTTAACTAAACGTCGTAATGATTGTTATTTGATGTAAATATGAATATGCCACGATTATCATAATAAAATATACCTTAAAATGTTTATAGTAGAGACAGGAATAATGTATAATATTTATATTCCTTCATAAATATTTACGATAGTTTAAATATACACAATTCCCCAGTACTGAGCATTATAAATAAAAATCATATCATTTTTTATGAAAGTTGTGATTGATTGGAAAAAAACTCTTGATAAATGGCACCTTTTACGATATTCATTCAGATATTTTATAAGAACTCTACAAACTTTGCACTTATCAAATAATATTCATCAAATATTATTGTAAAGAATATTCAAATTTGATAATCGTAAATATTAAAACAAAAGAAGATCATGTGTACACAGCTTACACAGAAATATCGCATCCCCACGATTTCTTCGACTACTTATGGCTATTCAATTTCAGTACTGAGCTAAAATAATACAAGTATATCGTAGGTAATAGTCTACAGAGTATCATTATTTATAGTTTGATACTCGAAGAGCGAGGATGAAGATTGCATCAAAAATAAAAATCTCTCAATATAACTAATAAAATTATATTCATTCGTTACCCAATATTCAAATAGTATTGTCTTCGGCTTTAGGTGGGTGTCGTTTTGCTATTGCTTCAGCATGCTCATGAGCTTTTTTATGAGCGGCTTTGGCAAGTTCAACTTCGACGGTGTCCATGACTTTCCCATTTTCACCAATTGGTGCTGGTGGTCCACCATAACCAATAGAGGTTTCTGGAGGGTAAATGATATGCATTGGTGGTAGATAAATTCTAGTGTGTTGATGCAAACTCGGTGAAACTGATGCCCAACCATTTCCGCTTTCTTCTTTGTTTTCGTGTCCATTTTTGCTTTTAGTCAATTCAGCAAGTTTTTTATATGCTAATAGATGCAGCTCTTTCGCTTTTTGTACCTTGAAGGGAATAGAAAAATTGACATTAATAAACATTGATATTTCATGAATTATTGACAGATGGCATATAAATTTGAAGATTCAAAATTATTTAAACTGCAAAAACCGATATAAAAGTTATTTTTGGAAAGCAACTCTTTGAATATTAATAATTACATGAAATAAATGATGATTGCTACATTATAAAAGTCTTTAAAATGGGATCATGAAAAAATCGTAATCTGTATACTCTGTAACTATTTGAAATAAAATTAAGTAATATGTAGGTCATATTGAACTAGGGCATATATATTAGATAATATCATTACTTCAGAGGTCACTTGATATTTCAAATGGGAAAATTATCTAACATAAATTATTATTAAACAATTTCATTTTTAATTTATCATTTGATTTTATCTTTTATATATTTTATTAACGCATCAATTTTTTAACATAACATAAGCATAACTCAATTGAATCATTTTGGAAACTTATTTTGTATTCACAAACCTCTGGAGTGTCCAGTACTCTTCCATCCTCTCCAAGCTGAGCAAGAGGGCCCTCGTAACTTTTTTGTGGAATTTTTGTTGGTTCTTTATTTTCAATTTCATTGTTTACTTCAAGTTCTACCACAGGTTTAACTTCCTCTACTTTAGGAACTTCTTCAGCTTCAATCTGAAGTGATGGTTCAATGATTGGTGGAACTTGTCGGGAAGGCTCAATAACAACAATTGGGGCAGATTCGGGTAGGGCTTCCACAGCTTTTTGCTGTTCTTGTTGAGTCTTTTGCTCTTCAGCAACAGCAGCCATAAGCGCAGCCATCATTTTAGGCGTCATCTGTATTGGTCCGCTTATCATAGGTAACTCTTCTGCAGGTTTTTCTGCTTTTTTTTCGGTAGGTTCATGCCAATTTGCTTCTGCCATTTTTTTTGCTAAATCAGCTATAGTTTCAGCATGTATAAGCAAATGATTGGCTTTAGCATCAGCTACTTCTTGAGTATCAATAACTCGACCATCCTTGGATAAAGGTGCTGGTGGTCCGTGATATTCATGATGAATAATGTCCCATTTAGAGTCCCTGCGTATTTTTACAGATCCCAAGCGGGCACTAGAAGCCAATGTAAGGCTCACAGCCATTAAAAAGAGCACCTAAAATAAAAAACAGCGTAGATAAACGATTTCAAAGTATATATTGTTAAGGAATGAAAGTTATTTATATTGTTATACGTTCAATCATCGAAAATATTTAAAAAATATTTTTTATAAATATTTAAAAAAAATTGTCGTTCAATTTGTTCGGAGCTATACAATATAACTTACAAAATGATTTTTCAGCAACTTTTAATTTTTTTTTTTTACTAGTAATTCAACCATTATTCAAATTCAATTGTCATAATCATTATGCGTAAATATTTTTGATTATGATCACAATTAAAAATTTTCAAATAATTTTAATAATAAATATCAACCATGTCACGCCCAGATTTACAAAATTGGTTCGTTAAAACACTTTATCCAATTATCTGAGAAAAATTTTAGTTTAACAGATTTAAAGTTAAATTTAAATTTGACAATTAAATAACAACGTTGTAGCGCGCCGATTCAAAAAGTTGATGCATTGAAACACTTAATCCTATTATCTGAGGCAAATTTAAGTTCATCATTTTCCAAAAATCACAATCACTGAACCAAGATATGAATGGAACACTTTTAGTTAATTTTTACACTTATAATCACTTGTAAATTAATACGAATTCCTAACAAGAATTAGGAGAGTAGTTGAAAAAAATGTATTCTTAATATTCAGATTCAAAAATGATATTCTAACACTTGTTGTTAAATATATATGTAAAAATGCCAAGAACTTACAAATAGTCTCATGGCAAATGTTAAGTCTTGAGTAGCTGCAGTGAAGGAGATAGCTAAATGCAAAGTGTGCCTTCTGATCGGCTAGATTGGTCTTATATACCCCTACGAAGCGGATGCATGCGCCAGCGATGCATGCATCTAGCCTACCGTGTTCTATCGCGTACCCCCGCTCACGCGAAAATTGACAACGTTAGTGCTAGAAAAAAATTTAGGGGCACGCGTTGAGCTACTTTAAGAACTGGTGGCTTGCCCCTTTCCTAGTTGACTTAACATTCGTCTATTACGCTTAATACTTGTAGCAATTAAAAAAATTATATGACGTATGAATTTGTTTGTAAAATATTTCAAATGATAAAAACATACATTGCAGGCAGCTTACGGAAGTGAAAAATGTGAATGTAAATATATGTATCAAATTACGTGATTATTTTTATTTTAGGAATTGCATTTGCAGCTTCAAATTAGTAGTTGAAACTAATTACTCTCACCGCGTAATCCTACTCCATTTTAAGTGGAAATAATTATTTCATACTTCATGAAGCGATTGTCATCTTATGATAATCTTGAAATTTGAATCACTATTGAGTAATTAAAAAATGAGAGAAAATGACTATTGTAATGAATCTGTACTGAATCTGTCATCAATATTAAATTATTGTAATGAAATACAATACGAACTTATATAAATTTTAAAGAAGCAACTAGTTCAGTTGTTATTATTATTCATAACGACTTTATTTTTTAATTCGGTTCATAGATATTTTGTGTCTTAAATTTTGCATCACTCAATTTCACGCACATGAAAATAATATTTTTATGTATAAGTGCGATTGTTAATAAGAAATTGCAACAAGTACTAGTTATCTAATATAAAGTATAATTTTCATCAATAAAATACTAAATATCAACAGTTTCTAAGCGCAATATAGCTGAAAGAAAATACGGAATGAATTCTATGTATATCAAATGACTCATGTTTGACATACTTTTTTAATCAAATCTGCATAAGTCATTTATAATTTAGAGACTATAGTTTGATTTTAATGAATATTCCAATGCTTCTCTTGATTCTAATATTTTTCTAAGATTATAATTTTACTATCTTCAGTGGCAAAATATCATTCGTACACATGAAACTTGTACACGGGCATTTCTGTACACAAGTAAAATGTGTCCAATATTACTACACACAATCGAACTTTTTTTTAAATTCAAAACGAATTAAAACGATTACAATTATTTTTTTTATTTTTTGAATTTAAAAAAAAGTTCGATTATGTGATTGGACACATTTTACTTGTGTACAGAAATGCCCGAGTACAAGTTTCATGTGTACGAATGATACCTTGCCTTTTCAGTCAATACTCTTCCTTGCCCACAAATTTATTTTCTCTTTTTAAATAAAGTACTAGCTAGAACTGATTTATAAAATTTGAGATAATAGTGGAAATTAATTACCGATTTTTATTTACAGTATTACTTTCATCAAAATAGGTATTCACCAATCTTACAAATTCTAACATTTATTGAAATGTATGAGTGTTGACAAAAAATTTTTTCATCATAGTTGTATTCATCTGATATTTGAAATGCATCGTAAAGAAAGTGCATCTCGTGATTTTCATCGCTTAAATTGCACTAGTATTCGTCAGCTCAAATGGCCGGCATAATAAAAAATTTGAAAAATCTAGAGTACGCAATACGAATAACGAGATCATAAAATGGGTGACGTTGCGTAGGACTTGTTTATATTTATCTAAGCATGGCTATTTTGACGTAACGGCGAGCTGGATCACACCTTATCCGGGCCACGACTGCTGCTCCACACCACCCAGAATATTATACCTAGCTCATTGACCAATGAATTGAGCTTGACGCTAGCCGAGCCCCAAATCAATTAAATTTCGATGGCTTGAAATATTTCGACTACTTCCTACTTTTCTGAAATAAAAGTATTCTGTATATCAATTAATTATTTTTAAACAAAATTTAGGTGTGGAAAACACATTCCATTTAATAAAGATATAACAAACGTAACAAGTCCATTCGTTATAGATTTTCAATGAATAATTTCTACTACAGCAAAAAGCATTTAAGGGAACCCTCAACGAACTAATTAAAGAGATATTTAATATAAAAGATGAATTTCGTTGTCTTTTTCCCAAAAAGGTACCTCGTGTGCTTGTAAATACCAACCTACATGAGTTACATCTCTATCTATTTATTTATCTATATTATTGTTATGATTATCATCACCCAACTACCTTAATTAAAAAAATACATGTTGTTTTCATTCCAAAATGAATATTGAATCATATGTTTTATGTAAGCATAAAATGGTGATCCAAAAGTTACTTTTAATTGAAAGAATAACTATTTCATTGGATTTTAATTAGAGTCAAATTTTTTTTCTGACACACCGAATGCAAAACGAGGGTTTTCTAACATAGAAACTTCATAAAAACTTTGTTTACGTAAAAAATGTTAAAAAGATCGTATTCATCTAGTGCATCCAGTTACTACAAGAAAGGAGTTACTACGTACAAGAAGTTACTATGTATGCATCCAATTACTACAAGAAAGATAACTTATCCAGAAGTATTTACACCCAAGTGTAATCCGATCATATCGAGGGTGCGAACCATTCCGAGGTAAGTCATCTGCTTCATGTATTTATTTCATAATATAATATTCTAGTATATAAATAGAAGACACCAATTTTCATAATATTTCTTATTGCATTTTTGCAGCTTTATTATTTCAAATATAATTCCATTCATAACTATTACAATTTACACTATTATTTAATATTAAAATATCAGAAAAGATTTACCATCAGATGACGTTAAAGTTCACCCCATATTATGTATCATTAACCTTGACTGGTAATACTACTCTTATAAGAAGGCCACGAGTAAAATATGATTGAGCGAATAAAGTATTTTACATTTATTGTTTGAGGAATACACTTTAGCTTCATTTTATGAAAAAAGAAACGAGAATATTTAACTAAATGATAATAAATATACCTCATTATTGCATGTAAGACATTGAAACAAGAGAATCTCTAGCACACATGTTTGTGTAACTAATTATATAACTTATTACTGAAAACTAGTTTGATTTTTAAGCAAAAGTTATAACTATGTCATTTATTGCAACATTGTCAAGTTCTCGCACCTTGCTTACTATAAACATGAAAAATACCCTATTTGACACCTTATCATTATTATGATGGATAAACTTTAATTTAAATAAATATTAAGGTAAATATGGGGTAAAAAAAAGCTTTAAATTTGTCTTAAAACGATTATAAATTAAAAAGTTGATTCAGTTGAGACAGTATTGATTTGTGTTAAGTTATTTTCCACCCATATTTATGAGGAAGCTGAGTTGAAAGATATTTGTAAACAATCATCATTAAAAGAGGTACCTAAAAAATTAAAAAATTGATGCTGGCAGTGGTTTGACTCGCTTACATAGCACTCTAATGAACTCGATTACATAAAGCACTTGTCATCTGAAAATCAGATTTTTCAAATAAAAGCATGATTGTGGAGATTTTTTACTAAGAAATATCGTATTTATTTGTATTTTAATCACAAGAACGACTTGTTTGTGGGTCAGATTCAGAATTTTTTAGATAAACTGGCGGATGAGGTATGCAGATTTTCCCGCCAAAATTCCAAAATTTTTTCCCGCCAAATTTTGAAATCTTTTCCCGCCAAAAATTCAAATTTTTTCCCGCGAAATTTTAAAATTTTTTTCCTGCAAAAATTCAAATTTTTTCCCGCCAAATTTTTGAAATTTCTTCCCGCCAAAATTCAAAAAAAATTTCCCGCCAAATTTTTAAAATTTTTTCCCGCCAAAATTTCAAACTTTTTCCCGCCAAAATTTGAAATTTTCCCGCCAAAATTTGAAATTTTTTCCCGCCAAAATTTGAAATTTTCCCGCCAAAATTCAAATTTTTTCCCGCCAAAATTTGAAAATTTTCCCGCCAAATTTTAAAAATTTTCCCGCCAAATTTTAAAAATTTTTTCCCGCCAAAATTCAAATTTTTTCCCGCCAAAATTTCAAACTTTTTCCCGCCAAAATTTGAAATTTTCCCGCCAAAATTTGAAATTTTTTCCCGCCAAAATTTGAAATTTTCCCGCCAAAATTC